CATATTAATCCCTTAACAGATGTATCATTGGCAAATATGTTCTCCCATTCAGTGGGTTGTCTTTTCATTTTGTTGACGATTTCCTTTACTGTTCAAAAACTTTTTAGTTTGATATAGTCCCACTTGTTTATTTTTTTTCTTCTCTTTCCTTGCCGGGGAGATATATCAGAAAAAAAAAAATTACAAGAGAAATGTCAGAGATTTTGCTGCCTATTTTTTCTGGTTTCAAGTCTTATATTTAAGTCTTTAATCCATTTTGAGTTTATTCTTATCTATGGTGTAAGAAGGTGGTCTAGTTTTATTTTTTGCCTGTTGCTGTCCAATTTTTGTAACACCATTTATTGAATAGACTGTCTTTTCCCCATTGTACGTTCTTACCTACTTTGTCAACTATTAATTGGCCATATAAGTGTGGGTTTATTTCGGGGCTCTCTATTCTGTTCCATTGAGCTATGTGTCTGTTTTTATGCCAGTACCATCCTGTTTTGATAACAATACCCTTGTAGTATAGTTTGATATCAGGTAGGGTAATACTTTGTTCTTCTTTCTCAAGATTGCTGTGGCTGTTTGGGGTCTTTTGTGGTTCTGTATAAGTTTTTGGATTATTTATTCTAGTTCTGTGAAATATGCCATTATTTTGATAGGAATTGCATTGAATCCATAGATTGCTTTGGGTAGTTATGAACATTTTAATGATGGCAATTCTTCTTATCCATGAGCACAAGTATATGCTTCCATTTACTTATATCTTCTTCAGTTTCTTCAGTGTCTTATAATTTTCTTATTCTTAGTATTTTTGTTTGTTTTAAAATATATTTTTATTGATTTCAGAGAGGAAGGGAGAGGGAGAGATAGAAACATCAATGATGAGGAAGAATCATTGATCAGCTGCCTCCCGCATGCTCCCCACTGGGAATCGAGCCATGTGTCCTTCATTAGAATCAAACCTGGGACCCTTCAGTCTGCAGGCTGATTGCTCTATCCACTGAGCCAAACTAGCTATGGCTATTCTTAGGTATTTTTTTAAATACAATTATACTGGTAAATGGAATTTTTTTTATTTTTTATTTTTAGTTTCCCTTTCTGATAATTCATTATTAGTATATAAAAGTGCAAGTGATTTCTGGATATTAACTTTGTAACCTGCTACTTTACTGAATTTATCAGTTCTAGTTTTGTTTTTTTAATGGAATCTTTAGGGTTATGTTTATACCGTATCATGTCATCTACAAATAATGACAATTTTACTTCTTCCTTGCCAATTTGGATACCTTTTATTTCTTCTTCTTAACTGCTGTGGCTAGGACTTCCAGTACCATATTGAATAAGAATGGTGAAAGCAGATATCCCTGTCTTATTCCTGATCTTAAGGGAAACACTTTTAGTTTTTTGTGCATTGAGTATGATGTTAGCTGTGGGTTTGTCATATGTGGGCTTTATTATATTGAGATATGGTCCCTATATTCCCACTTTGTTGAGAGTTTTTATCATAAATGGGTGCTGGATTTTGTCAGATGCTTTTTCTGCATATATTGATATGATCATATGCTTTTTATCCTTAATTTTGTTTATGTGATGTCACATGTTAATTGATTTGTGGACATTGCACCAACCTTGCATCCCAGGAATAAGTCCCACTTGATCATAATGATTTTTTTTTTAATCCTCACCCGAGGCTATTTTTCCATTGATTTTTAGAGGGAGGGAAAGGCAGAAATATTGATGTTAGAGAAACACATTGTTTGGTTGCATGCCACACGAACCCTAACTAGGCCAGGGCTGGGGAGGGGCCTGCAACCAAGGTACGTGCCCCTGACCGGAATCGAGCCTGGGACCAAGGGTCCGCAGGCTGACTCTCTATCCATTGAGCCAAACTGGCACGGGCTGATCTTTTTAATGTGTTGCTAGGTGCAGTTTGCTAATATTTTTTTAGAATTTTTGCATCTATGTTCATCAGGGATATTGGCCTCTAATTTTCTTTCTTTGTAGTGTCTTCATCTGGATTTGGAATTAGGATGACACTGGCCTCACACAATGAGCTTGGAAGTCTTCGCTCCTCTTGATAGTTTTGGAATAGTTTGAGAAGGATTGGTGTTAGTTCGTTTTTGAATGTTTGATAAAATTCACCTGGAAAAGGGCATGCCTTTTACCCTATCAGGTCATTAGTGTGGAGAGCTGAGTTAACCTAGTGGGAAGTTGAGCTGCTGCCACCTGGGGCTAGTGTGGGGCCTGGAGCGCTGGCAGGTTCTTCTCAGTGCTCCTGCTTCAGACATGGCTTTCAGGAGGCCCTGGTGTCCCTTTCTCTGTGCCTGCAGGAGGGGGCAGTGGGAGTAGGCCTTTCTCTGTACTTTACCTCTTAGCCTGCCTCCAGTGGTAGGCCGCCGCTGGTACTTGGTACAGCCTCCTGGAGGGGCAGGGCATTTATCAGGGTTTTCTTGAGGTTTCTCAGTGCTCCTGTGGCAGCCCTAGTCTCGGGCAGGCTTTTTGTGCCCTGGCCTCATGGTTGGGGCTTTCTCAGAAGTTCTTGTGTCAAAGAGTTCTTGGTGGGCTACCTGGTTCTTTTTACCTCTGCACTGAGCATGCTGGGAAAGGAACCTGCAAAAGCTACTGACATTGCTTGTTTGTTAGAACTTTAGCATTCTCCAGAGTGATCTTTGAAAATAGTCGCTCTGATCCCACCTCAATGAAAAGCTGTCTAGTGTATGCCATGCAACCTCAGGTCACAGGCTTTCAGCTCTACAGTCTAGAGCCCTTCACTCCGACTTTCTATCAGCTACTTATTTAAGTCTTATCTGTCTCCCTGGCCCCAGACCATCAGTTTTGAGGGCAGGTATCTTGTTCTCTGTGTATTGCTAGTGATGAAATGGCTCAGCAACTGTCTTGAAAGGATGAGGAATGAGTGGAAGCCGGGAAAGCCCTTACCTCCCCAGCTCTCCAGTAGGCAGACTCCTGCCCAGCTACAGGTTCATGCACAGGCGTCACAGAGAAGCCTTTCTGGGGGCTCCCCAGGTTTGTGGACAGGCCTCTCTCCTGTGCCCCAGCCCTAGCACAGACCTTGCAGTACTGATAGAACTGTGTGCACCTCTGCTCCCTCCTGGGTCCCCAGGGCAGGGCTATGCTAGCCACGCCTGTCCCACCCAGCCCTGGGCAGACTACTTGGTGAGCCTGCGGAGGCCCTGTGCTGCACCATCTGCATGCTGCATTAAAACATTTAAGGCCTGTTTTTCTGTTGTAGGAAAAGCGAACCCTCTGTGGACATAGAGGACTTGGACTGGAAGCATGTGGTGTGGCCTGCGCGGCTGGAGGCGAGGGCACCTGAGCCCTTGGGGAGTGCAGGGACAGCAGTGGCCGCTGGCCTTCCGTGCTCTGGCCAGTGTGGCCTCCGGGAGTGGAAACGAGTACAGCCACGTGGTGGTGGGTGCGGGCTCTGCGGGCTGTGTGCTGGCTGGACGGCTCACCGAGGACCCTGATAAGCGTGTGCTGCTGTTGGAGGCCGGGCCCAAGGACACGCATGCGGGGAGCAAGCGGCTCTTGTGGAAGATCCACATGCCTGCGGCCCTCGTGGCCAACCTGTGCGATGACAAGTACAACTGGTACTACCACACCGAGCCGCAGGCAGGCATGGACGGCCGCGTGCTGTACTGGCCGCGCGGCCGGGTGTGGGGAGGCTCCTCGTCCCTCAACGCCATGGTCTACATCCGCGGGCACGCCGAGGACTACGACCGCTGGCACCGCCAAGGTGCCACGGACTGGGACTACGCTCACTGCCTGCCCTACTTCCGCAAGGCGCAGTGCCACGAGCTGGGTGCCAGCCGGTACCGCGGCGACCAGGGCCCCCTGCATGTGTCGCGGGGTAAGACCAACCACCCGCTGCACCGGGCATTCCTGGAGGCGGCACAGCAGGCCGGCTACCCCTTCACCGAGGACATGAACGGCTTTCAGCAGGAAGGCTTCGGCTGGATGGACATGACCATCCACAAAGGTAGCGTAAGGTGCCCACCCCCATCTCCCTGGTTCTTCCTTGGAGAAAAAAAATTTACTATTGCAGCCCCTCCCTACTGCTCGCATCATGGTCAGTAAGTGTGGACACCCGGGGCTGGTCTGAGCTGGAGGGGACGTGACACCGTGGGCATCCTCTGGGTCTCTGGCCCCTGAGGGTGTGGATAATGGAGTCGGCTCTCTGGCCAAACAGAGACTTACAGATGGGGAAGCAGGCACAGGACACCCAGGGGGCCCAGGCGGACATGGGTTTCCGTGGACAGGGGCTTTTGGTTTCAGCCGTACTTGGAAGGCAGAGCTTACACAGTCAGGGAAAGACAAATTCCCCCTTTCTCCAGCCCCTTCCCACTCCCCCCCTGGGCAGGGGCGAGGGGCTGTGCCTGAAATCCTCGCTCTGTCCTGCAGGCAAGCGCTGGAGCGCAGCCTGTGCGTACCTGCACCCAGCACTCAGCCGCCCCAACCTCACCGCCGAGACCCGGACGTTTGTGAGCAGGGTGCTGTTTGAAGGCAGCCGCGCAGTGGGCGTGGAGTACATCAAGAACGGCCAGAGCCACAGGGTGAGCCAGGCACCCCCAGGCCTAGGCAGCTCAGATGGCGGGCGGGAATGGGCAGTCGTCATGCTCTGTCTCCATCGGCACTGTGGTGGGGAGTGGGCAGCGGGTGGCAATGGCCTGAAAGGTTGTTCGCAGGGCTTAGCTGGGGGTGGAGGCCAGTTTAGGCACCTGCAGAGCCTGTTGTGCCCCGGATAAGCACCCTGTGAGCCTGTCTGCCGCTCCCCACGGTACCTTCCACACCTCTTTGGAAGTTGATAGGTTATAAGAACCGTAACTGTGCTCATACTCCGTATTTCTGCACCGTGCTTTTCCCACTTAGCAGTGTGCCAGGATGTCCTGCAGCCCACTGCTCGCTTTATGGAAACCGCTCATTCGAATGCGGTTTCTCATTTCAGTCCCACGGTCCTGTTTTTAAGACCATCATTACGAACTGGCGGTCGCTGAGTATTTGAGTATAATCATGATTTATTTATCTATGAGTGCCTGCGAGAGCCGAACAGGTGGGGAGCTTTCACACAGCACCCTGGGCATCCTCTTCCCAGGCCGAGGCCACGCTCTCAGGTTCTGTCTGCCTTTGGGAAGGGAAGTGTGACCTGCTGGGCCCGCTGCCTCTTCCAGGCTTACGCCAGCAAGGAGGTGATTCTGAGTGGAGGTGCCATCAACTCCCCGCAGCTGCTCATGCTTTCTGGCGTCGGCAACGCAGATGACCTCAAGAAGCTGGGCATCCCCGTGGTGTGCCACCTTCCAGGTGAGTTTCCTCCTCCACTGCTCCTGGAGGGGGTCTCTGCTAAACAGAACGGTTTATTGTATTTTATTAGTATGGACTGGGGAGGGGACAGGAGTCGGTGCTTTTCAGAACTGTCCCACTTCTCATGGGCCTGAAGGTCCCCTGGGACCCCAGGTCTTTGGGTGCTCTCCTCCCGTCCCTGGCCATCCTATCCCACTGAGAGGCGAGGCCCCGTGGCAGGGAGCATCTGCCCGTAAAGCCTCCTGGGCCAGGCTCAGCAGGTCACCAGGGCAGCTCTGTGCTGAGGGGTCCAGGCCTCTGTGCTTTCCATCCTCAGTCCTCCCCACTTGCTCTGATGTTAAAGATGCTAACTCAGTGCTCCTGGGTATGCTTCTCACATGAAGACAGTTCTCCAGGCCTGAAATTTATTTTACAAACTGTCTTTGATGCCCTTTGGGGCCTGTCCCTTTTGCCCTCTCTTATAACCCACGCTCCCAGAGGCCTGGCCGTTCTGCATTGAGGCTTCCTCCTAAGGGGTCTGTGAAAGTGCTGGGCCATGAGTGACCTGCCCAGCATCCCCTGGAGCTTGGATGAGCTCATGCAGGTCTGCACAGCATGAGGGGGCCTGCTTCCCCCGGCAAGGGGTGAGGCTGGGGCTGTCAGCCGTTCAGTGACAGCTTCCTGAGCAGTACCTGCTGCACACGTGGGCCCTGCCCTCAGGGAGGGTGCTGCTTGGCAGGAAGGCAACTGGATGGGTGGCTTTGGCAACATCGGAGAGGGCTGGACTTGGCCAGGAGTGCGGAACGGTGTCCCTGGGAGGTGACCCGGCGCCTGAGCAGGAACTGGCCTGCAGATAAATGGGTAGGGGAGAAGTTTTCAAAACCAGGGGGATGTTGAGAGGTCAGCTAAGCTCCCCTTGGTAGCCATTGCTCCTCACCACTCCCTCCTATTTCAGGAGTTGGTCAGAACCTGCAAGACCACCTGGAGATATACATCCAGCAGGCATGCACCCGTCCCATCACCCTCCACGCAGCGCAGAAGCCCCTGAGGAAGGTCCGGATTGGTCTGGAGTGGCTCTGGCAGTTCACAGGTTGGTAGACATGGTCTGTGGGCATCGTGAGGTGCTGAGCAAGGGCTCTGGCACAGATTGCTGGTTTGAAGCTGAGCTCTGCCATTGGCCTCAGCTCTTTGAGCCTCAGCTTTCCCATCTGAAAAATGGGATACACAGTTCCTGCCTGATGGGCTGGTGTGAGGACCAGACTCAGTAGCACAGGGCCTGACCTGGGGGAGACTCCTCAAGGGCTAGGTGCTGCTCTTCCCTGCAGATGGACGGGGATGGCCGTGTGCTGGACACCATGAGGTGGCCAAGGAGCCAGGAGAAAGGGCACTTGGTGCTGGACTATAGAGCCAGCACCCATTGCTTAGTTAGAAAACAAATGGAGAAAGTAGAGGAGAACCACGATGGTGGCATAGGTAAAGGTGGCACTCGCCGCTCCCACAGCCACATCAGAATTACAACTGAAATACAGAACACCACTCAGAACCGCCCGAAAGCCGGCCGAGGGAAGTCCTGCAACTAGAGAAGTAAAGAAAACAGCACAGGGAGGCTGGTAGGAGGGGCGGAGGCACGGAACGCTGGTCTGACACCCATGTGTGGCGCCTTTTTTCAATTGGGGGGAATAGCTCAGCTGCAGAGGTCTCCCGTGAGGAGCAGGGGGTCCCAGCCCCATACCAGACCCCCAGCCCAGGGTTCCAGAGCTGGGAAGAGAAGCCCCCTGTAACTTTGGGCTGTAAAAACCAGCGGGGATTGTGGCTGAGTGACAAGGAGGCAATTCCTCTTAAAGGGCCAGCACATGAACTTACACAGACTTGCTCCATCTGAGCTTGGTGCTGGGGCAGCAGCTCTTGGGGAGCCAGGGACTTATGGGGAAGAACTGGATTGCCTAGTCTCTGAGCAAGAACTCAGGGGTGCTCGCAGGGGTCACTGTTCCTGTGCTAAGACCTCCCGTTGCAGAGCTGACTGGCAGTAATATCTGAGTTTCCATCAGCTTAGCCAACATCGTTTGTTCTGCCCTGGTGATTCCCTGAGACCCCGCCACATCCAATTTGCAGCAGCTTTTCCATATGAATGGCCTGTCTGTCCTGGCTCAGGCATCAGACTTTTCTAAAATCTCTCAAGCAAGCAAGAGCTGGTGTCAGCGTGCCCAGTACCTATCCATAAGAGGCCCAAGACAGTGTGGCCTCACCTGGGCACTTCCGGACCCAACACAAGTGGCGGCCACCTGTAGGTCGCTCTGTGGCTCTTGCAAGGTGGCCCCAGGCAGCGGCTGACTTTGCACCTTTCGGGAGACCCCAGAGCCAGTGCACCCACTGGACAGCTTCAGACCATGCCAGGCTATAACTACACACCCACAAGCAGCACACTCACGGGCACACAGTGAGCACCAAAGTCCCTCTGAAGCAAGTCCTGCTCCATAGGGCTGTCTCCTGCACAGCAGCTCTCCCACTGCAGTCACAGCTGATCCTCACAGCCAGTTGGCCAACAGCAATTAAGACTCAACTACAAGACTAGGTGCACCCCTTGTGGGCTGTGTGCACAAGGTGCCCAGCTCAGGTGACGGGAGGCTGAGCCACTGGGCCCTACAGGACACCTATTGGACAAGGCCACTCTGCCAGTTCCAGGAGAAGAGTAGCTTTACCTAATACATAGAAACAAACACAGGGAAGCCGCCAAAATGCAGAGACAAAGAAACGTGTCACAAATAAAAGAACAGAAGAAATCTCCAGAAAAAAAACTAAATGAAGTGGAAGCAAGCAAACTACTAGGTACCATCAGTCGCATTTATGGGGGCGCTGGAAGCATAAGAGAGAGCAAGATACTGTAACCTATTTGAAAAAATGACAGAAAACTTCCCTTACCTGGTGGAAGTAATAGACTTACAGGTCCAGGAAGTGCAGAGAGTCCTAACCAAGAGGAACCCGAAGAGGCCCACACCAAGACACATCATAATTAAATTGCCAAGGGTTAAAGACAAAGAGAGAATCTTAAAAGCAGCGAGAGGAAAACAGCAAAAGCAGAAAAAAGATAAATCCATATCTTTCAACAATTGAGTCTGAAAAGAAAAATAAATGAACAAAGAATCTAATGAATAAAATAGACTCAGAGGCATGGAAACAGGGAGCAGACTGACAAATCTGGGGCAGTGGAGATTAACCAAAGAACTTAATATGCATATATGCATTACCTACGGACACAGATAATACGGCGGTGAAGGCTTGGGGCAGGGGAGGAACTGGATAGAGGGGAACATCTGTAATACTCTCAACAATAACGATTTAAAGAAAAATAAAAGTAGAAAAAAACCAAAAACAAATGGAAAATGCTGAATTTCCGTAACTCTGAGTTTGGCCAGGAAATGGTGCTTTGAAATCCTATTCATTCACTCAGCACCTGTTCCTCACAAACTTACTGAGTGCTAGAGGATGAGAAGTCCCAGGAAGGCACGTATCCTCCGGCAGTTTGCACTCGGATGGGGACAATGGAAAGAATCGTGTAACCATGCTCAATGTTAAGTTCTGTGAGAGAAAGACCAGGGGATCTGAGAGGCAGGAAGAGTACGTGCAAAGGCGCCTGGACTAGGCATCTCATTAGTTGGGCCAGAGACTGCAACACGTGGTGGGAGGTTAGAGGGGAGAGGGCTCGGTCACGAGGAGTACAGGACAGGCCAGGTTAGGGTTACCTGTGGGACACGAGGCCTCACAGTTCAGTCTCAGTGGTGGAGTTGGGGGGAGAGGCAAAGCTGAAGACTCGACAGGTAGACAGGCAGCTGACATTGGAAGCTGTGGTGCCAGTGATCCCACCTGCGGGGAGAGGAAGGACAGGTAGGAGCACCGGGGGCCTGAGGCCGGCCCACATGCCCTGCTCTGACTGACTGCTCTGCCAATCCTCAGGGGATGGAGCCACGGCCCACCTGGAAACAGGTGGGTTCATCAGGAGCCGGCCTGGGGTCTCCCACCCAGACATCCAGTTCCACTTCCTGCCATCCCAAGTGATTGACCACGGGCGTGTCCCCACCCAGGAGGAGGCTTACCAGGTGAGCAGACAGTCTCATCTTTTCCATCTTCCCCCCTGCAGCGGGGCCTTCAGGGTGGGGAGTGCACAAGCCTGTGCCCCGCCCTGCAGCTGCTCATTACGTCTCAGCTTAGGGCAGATGCTCTTAGTACTGAGCACTAGCAATGGACCAATGGCACCAACTCTGCCCAGGGCTTGCCAGCTCCTGAAAATTTTGGCCATTCAGTTATAGAGGCAGGAGTGATTCATCAAGGTGGTTGTTTTTAATCACTGTGGAGGGTGGGCAGGTAAGATGCAGGCAGATGCTAAAATATAGCTGCTTTTAATTGACTTTGGCTGTAGAGGCCCACCCCCAGGAAACCTGGGACCTCTCTAAACTGAGTTGGGGGGCTGATGGAAGTGACTGCTCCCTCTGGATTCACCTAGGTGCATGTGGGGACCATGCGGGGCACGAGTGTGGGCTGGCTCAAACTGAGAAGTGCCAACCCCCAGGACCACCCTGTGCTGCAACCCAACTACTTGTCCACAGGTAACTCCCCAGCCACCTTTGTGTGCCCCAGGCCTGCGCCTGCTGGTCACTGTCTGAACGACTGCCTTTATGGGTTTGTTCCTGAACCACATTTTCTGAGACACAAGTCACTCTCTGTCTTCCCTCCGCCCCATCATTCTAGGCCAGAGGTCCTCAAACTTTTTAAACAGGGGTCCAGTTCACTGTCCCTCAGACATTCCACACATGCGCACTGCGGGCCCGGACGAGTCGGCTGCTAAGCAGGACAGGCAGCGGCGGCAAAAACACCTGGCGGGCCGGATAAATGTTTTCGGCAGGCCGCATGTGGCCCGCGGACCGTCGTTTGAGGACCCCTGTTCTAGTCTGTACATTTGCACACCCTGCTATGTGGTGCCCGGGGTCCCTTGAAGTAACCACATGAGGAGAGATGTGCAGTTTTCAAAGCAACCTACCGGAGGTTCAAGGCGGCGGCCTGGCTGTGTACACACAGCTCACAGAGCACTTTTCCTGCTGTGACTGAACATCCTTCAAAAGCGAATTCTATTCCCCGGCCTGCCTCTCTGCACACAGCAGAGATGACGGCTCCCCACCCGGCAGGTTATGCCCAGTAATAACGTGTGGGGCCCTCACAGCCACGCGGTGGCAGAGGCAAGGCGTGAGGTCTGATTCCTAACATGCAGATCAAATCCAGATCCCCCATTCACATCCGGGGCCTCTGAGGCAAGCTGTGTCCGTCTCGCATGTTCTCTGTTTGGGCTTCATGGGACTCTGCTTGGTTGCACGTCACCGCCTGTGGGGAGGGCAGGAACTGGATAGGCCCCAAGCAGCCTGGTGGCCGGGACCTTCGCGTCCTGACCGGTCTCCCCTCGGGCAGCTGACTGAGCCTCTCCCGGCCCAGAGTCTGCCTGCGAGGCCAGCATGGTGAGAGGATGCTCACCTGTGTCTTCTCCTCCACAGAAGCCGACATTCACGATTTCCGTAATTGTGTGAAGCTGACCAGAGAAATTTTTGCCCAGGAAGCCCTGGCACCGTTCCGGGGAAAAGAGCTCCAGCCAGGAAGCCACGTGCAGTCCGATGAAGAGATAGACGCCTTTGTGCGGGCGAAAGCCGACAGCGCCTACCACCCCTCGTGCACCTGCAAGATGGGCCAGCCCTCCGACCCCACCGCCGTGGTGGATCCGCAGACCAGGGTGATCGGGGTGGAAAACCTCAGGGTGGTCGACGCATCCATCATGCCCAGCGTGGTCAGCGGCAACCTGAACGCCCCCACGATCATGATCGCAGAGAAAGCAGCTGACATCATCAGGGGGCGGCCTGCACTCTGCGACAAGGACGTCCCTGTGTACAAACCCAGGACCCTGGCCACCCAGCGTTGAGGCAGTCACTGCCTGGGAAGCCCCCCACCCAGCCAAAAGAGCCCTTGCTCCAAATGCTCTTTCCTGAAACTCTCTAGAATGTTAGGGTTCAATGGCAGAGAACTGGACAATTTCTTAAGAAGTGAGACCAGTCCGGTCAGTGAGCCAGGCTCCTCTCTCCTTGCCTTGTGCTGTGGGCCTTTGGGGAAAGGCCAGCATTCTGGCAGGAGGCCCGTGGAAGACTCGGCTCCTACCTGGGTCCCCTCCAACCTGGGGGCCTGCTGCCTTCCTCCTTCCTGGTGGGGCTGGAGGAAAGTGTCCTCTCCCAGGCCCCCCTCTGAAGGCAGGCCCCTCAGAGAGCAGGCTTTGTGCAGAGGCTGGGTGCTGTCTGCTCCGAGGGGGCACCCCCACCTTGGGCTGAGCTGTGGCTGAGACCAGGAGTCCTGCCGACGTTAGGGGGTGCAGCCTGGACTTGTGCCTGAGCCTGCAGTGCCCGTCCAGAGGGAGTGCTGCCTGCGGGGTGAGGTGAGGGACAGCACCAGCCTCTCCACTCTCCTCGGCTCCCTGATCTCACCCCCAGAGGGAGGCACGAGCTGGTGCTCAGAGGGGCCAGCAGCCCCCTGCCTGGTTCTTACTGAACACAGTCAGCCTGACGAGAGGATTTCTGGGTCTTATTCAAGGAGAGAAGTGTCTGCAAAGACCCCTCGCCACTACAGGTTTCACGACTTTGCATTTTAGACAGTTTCTTGTTACCAGGAAACCTGGAACCCAGAGCAAACCCCACATACCAGACCTCGCTCCATGCCAGGCCGCGAAGACACTTTCCCCCGGCGCTGGGCAAGGCCGGCTCATTCTCATTCTCCAGGTGTCCGCGGGAACAGAGCAGGACGGGCTGCAACGGACCGAAAAGGCGGTCAGTAAAACTGTGCGGCCTGGTCCTGCAAAAATGCGATTGAGAGAGAAAAGGAAATGGTCAGATTTGAGTTTGGGGTGGAGGGAAGAAAATCAGATACAGGCAGCATTGAAAACAGTCCTTTGATCTTTAAATTTCTCCTAATTCAATAATGTAATCCAATAATTTATTTTGAACTGAGGTATCTTTTCCAGACTGTTCTTACAAGGTAATAAACTAAATGCATTTTTGATTTGATTGTTTTTAAAGTTATTCAAAGCCACAGTCTGTGGCAGGGAACAAAAGAATTGCTATGTGGACGTCTGCCTTGCTGGCCCAGAATAAGGGAGGGAGGGAAACGGGACATTCCGGCTTCTCCCAGGACCAGAGTGGACGGAGGTGGCTTGGAGGCCTGACAGCCACATGTGTGTTTCTGAGAAAGACCTAGAAAGGCCGGAGGAAGAAAACCCCCTCTCCTTCCGTTAAGTTGTACCTGTGTCCTGCTTTATTTTCTGTTCCACGCAAGGGTCAGGGAAGAAAATTCTACATCTGCCACGAGATTTCTCCTAGAGAGGCTGCCGCCGTGGGGTCTGGGAGCCACCTGCAGGGGCGAAGGAGCAGCAGGAGTGCGGGTGCGGGTGCCAGCCCACTGCTCCGAAGGCCAAGAAGAACAAGTTAGGTGCGTGGGGTCCGGGTGACGGCACTGACCTCGGTGCTGGTATGGCAGGTGCACGGCCATTCCGTGCTGCCATCGTGTGTTCTGGGGATGGTCCCATCTCCAAGACAGTGGCTTGTTGCTACCGTGGCTGTGCTGTAAGTTAAGCAAATAACACATCCGCAGCCCCCTTCCCACTCTTGCATTCAGGGCCTTGTTCCTACGACCCCACAGTTTAGCCACCGCAGAAATAAGTTTCAAAAGAGAAGACTGAGAGTCACATGTCAGAAACCCACAGGGGTTCAGACCGGGGATGGACTATTCTGACTTAGAGCAGCGTCCCCTGGGTTCCGACAGCCGAGCGCTGTGGCCGTCGGGACAGAGTGAGCAGCGGCCACGTCACAACCACCAGGCTGCCTGCAAGTTCCACTGCCACGGGGACCGTGCCGCCTGAGGGAGGGCTGTTGTCTGAGGAAGCCAGAGGGGCAGAAGGTGCTGACCGGAGGTGGGGCGAGGAGCCAGCCAGGCTGCTGCAGAGGCTGGGCCGCACTGAGCCCCCAGACCTGCCCCTCAGTCTCGCCTGCCCCCCAAAGTTCCCAGGAGACAAGGTGTATCGTTTTAGAGAAATAAAGGCTTTTTAACAAAGGACAGCGTAGCTGGAGGCTGTTTTGAGTGGGGGTAGACTGCCCATTAAACCCCTGAGCAAAAGCCTGCAGAAGCTAAAAAAAGTGAATGTAATTGACAAAAAATGGTTGAAAAGCATAAAAGCTGCGTTTGTGTCCAGGGTCCAGGCTCAGGAGCGCTGACCCCTCTGGAGAAGCCTGTGCTTAGGCCGATGAATCAGCAGACGGTCTTCCTGACCGAACGAGGGCTGACACGCGCGTAGGAGCAGCTGTCCGGGGAACGACCTCCTTTTCCCAGCGCCCCAGCAAGAACCGGCATTTCCACACATTCAGGCAGATGCTCCTCTCCAGCCAAACCACGTCCCTCCACCCACAGGTCACTTCCCATTTCCACTGATCAACTCAACATCCGCTCTAACACCCAGATCTGTTTCTCTTAAAAATCAGGGGAAAAACCACACAAGCTCTTCACTGGCCGGTCTCGAGACCCAGGCAGTCCTCTCATTTCGTCTCCTGTCACCGTCCTCAAGACCACACTCCACTTGTCCCCATGGTGGAAGCAAGGGCCCCAGGCCTGTCCTCAGTCTCGCCTGCCCTCAGAGTCCCCAGGCGACGAGACATATCATCGTAGAGAAGTAAAAACGTTTCCACAAACGAAAGCGTAGCTGGAGTCTGCTGAGCTGGGTCGTCGCGTAAAGGAGCCGGAGCTGTGCGTGACCATTTTTTAGAACAAATTGACTGACCGCCCGTCATAACAATAAAAACCTTTGTAGAAAAGCAGATGCTTGGCAAAGACACTTACTCCCATGGTGTGGCCTATTAGAGCAACAGCAACATGAAATAAGCGGCCCTGGTTTCTTTCACCTGCATGGGGTCAGCAATAAAGGCGGCTTGTCCAGCAGGTCAAGCCCACACTGTGCACCAGCCTTGGGCTAAGGCCGCAACATCTTGGAATCGACCTGCGAAGCACCATCCGGCCAAGTCCGGATGGAAACCACGGAGACAGTTGTTAACGAGGCTCCTGCCTGCTGATAGTTACGTCAGAGCTGCCGTACCCATTTTGTGATACTATGAAAAACACAGGTTAAAGAAACTAAAGACTACTCCCGGGGACACAGCAAAGTGATTTTTTTTTTTTTAGGGGACGGAAGGGGAACCAAAAGAAAAGACTTTTAATCATAAAACTTTCCTAAAACAAAGGGGGAAAAAAACATGCTCTACAACTTCAAATTTTTCTTACAAAGAAAAATTTAATGTTAGGTGAGAGGTTGAACCAGGCTTAAAGCAGACAGAGATTAGGAGTGCTGCAGCCCATAAAAATGCCCATTTTTAAGTACTGACTGGAAAACATCATTGCCTATCCCAGAAGAGTCAGTCCTGGTAGACAGTGTTGGACCGGTGATGGTAAGCCACACAATAAGACCAATACCTAAGAGAGAAACAGAGTCCGAGGAGATGGTAACAGTGGTTTAGCCCTTTAGGAGAAACAGTGCTCTCTGCAGCTGGTATCAAGTTACCATAGGCATCGACGGAGCGACGAGAATAAGAAAAGAATCTACACAATTACAGAACTGCCCCCACAGAGTGCCCGCCCCTTTCAAGCTCTCACTGGCAAACGCCAGCTCTTTGCAAGGAGAGCTCCCAAATACAATAAAATTATTACGCAATTTTCTTCTGAAGAACATTTTACATTTAATAAAAAAAGGATTTACGTCAAGAAATAATCATTTACAAACCTTGAAGAGTTTTTTGCCTGGATCTGGAGTAAGAATGTCTTAAGAAGAGGTTTGTAAGGTCTTTATAACAAAGTATTGTTATTTACAAAAAAAGAAAATCCACATTAACAGGATGTCTATTTAATATTTAAAAATTTTGAACCCCCAAATTGCTACCTGTTTGTTTTGTTTTGTTTTTGACTGCAGAGAATCCTTGCCAAGGTAACTCGACAAAGTCAGCATTATTCCGTGAACAGAAAAGGAAGCCTTGACGGGTCTAGCGATCCCAAAGTGGGTTTTCTCGGGAAGTACAATCGCAGTGGGAGTGCATTCTAGTGAAAACGTCAGCCCTCATTCAGTTGCATATAAAAGCCCTCGGAGAGAACACACAGTACAGCAATGTTTTGTAAAAAGGCAACGATACTATTTGTCCAGACCCCGATCTTCTAACCCTCTGAGGATCGCGTCACTTTGCTTCCTTCACCCCCCACCCCCAGCATTCCTTACTAGTATTTCCTAAGACAAGCAGCCTCCCCTTTCCCAGGGGACACGAGCAGAGGGACTTCGTTCACCTGTAAGAGCGTTCTGTGTGGCCAGGTGAGCAAACCCACCACGAGGAAAGCCACGGGGTCGGTCTTGTCCTGCACTAACGGGGAAGGGGTGAAAGGAACACCGCCCCTGGTGGAGCAGAAGGCACCCTCTCCAGTCCCAGCACTCTTGCCCAGGGAGAAGACCGCCAAGAGTCATCGGGTGTAGCTTCTAGGGACTCAAAATACTTTAGAAAAATCTATATAGTGTCAAGTTCTTCTGAACTTAACATTTCACCCCCCAAAAGATTTTTCACTGAATAAATGAGAATTGGCTCAATTTCTCCTACTTCCGTGTAGTCTGAGTAAAAATACCAATGATTTCTAGATTTCAGTGGGGGGAACTACAATTATTAGGACCCATGGATATTGCTGCAGTTCAAATACGATACAATAATTACAAAATATAGACCATCTCTTTACAAATACAAATGATCGTATATTACAAGTCATGTACAGTAAGTCTAGGTTTTAAACAAACTAGCGTATCTAAGTTGACCTGGCTGCGAGTGCATTAGGATTCCAGTTTACGGCTGCCCTTGGCCTGACAGTCAGAAACCGACCATCTGCGCGGTGCGCTCCCGTGCAAACTGGTGTCACGGGACAGAAAACCTTGCCTGGGAGGTCCTGCTTCCCTCTGCGGAGGACGGCTGGTGGGTAGCCCTGACTGACTGTGTTTCAGAACAGGAGCCAGGAAGCAGGGTGTCTGGGAGGGAGATGCTGGGCCCAGTGAATGTCTGATATGCTAGACCGATGGCTGAGGTAATGACACAGGTACGGTGATCGTCATCACCTTTAACCTTCCCCACCGTGCCTGTGGGCGGTGGGCGTGGGCAAGTGCCCCGCATGGGCTGTGAACAAGAGGGCAGGCTTGCCCGGCGCCCGTCCTCCGTGCGTGGGCGGGACCTGCTGTCCCCGCAGCTGGGGCTCAGCTCTGAGCACAGCTGTTCCCTACAGGTTTATGGCTTCCTTGAGGCATGACATCACCTGCACAAAAGTCTAATTAAACACGGACTTCACACTAGTGCCTAAACTTTCCTAACTATGAGGCACTTTTTCCCTGGCCCTCGGGCACCTCACCTGAGGGCAGAGCTAGTCCCCGCCCCCCGCCTGGGGGCTACAGGGTGGTGATGCAGATCATTTCATCTGCTAGGTCCTCCTCCTCCCTCCCCAGGTCTGGCTCTTCGTCACTGTAACCTGGCCCGAAGTCCTGGAGCTCGTAGTCCTGGCGGCTCGCGTCGGGGCTCACGTCCCCGTTAGCCCCGGGGTGCACGGTCCCATTCAGCAGGTGGCTGGCTGCACTCTCCATCTCGTCGATGGTTAGGTCACAGGCGTCGGCAATTTCATGTTTTGTCGCCGACACAAATTTTGGGTCCCTTGCATAGCGTCCTAAGCCTTCGGAGATCAGGACCTGCGCAGGAAAGAGGATGACGGCATGAACGGGCTGAAAAGCTTTGCGGGGGACAAGGACAGAAAACCCACCTCAAGCACAACGGCACCGCGCGGCCAGCTGTGCTCGCCAGATCTCGTGCATGGTAACTACATGTCAGTGGACATGGCTTAGGCTTTGAAATATCACGAAGCTCAGAAACTATACAATTCAGTGGTTCTCAACCTTCTGGCCCTTTAAATACAGTTCCTCATGTTGTGACCCAACCATAAAGTTATTTTCGTTGCTACTTCATAACTGTAATCTTGCTACTGTTGTGAATCGTAATGTAAATATCTGATATGCAGGATGGTCTTAGGCGACCCCTGTGAAAGGGTCATTCGACCGCCAAAGGGGTCGCGACCCACAGGTTGAGAACCGCTGCTATACATAGCCTAACAAGAATGAAACCCACCGGGGAAGACAAGACTCTCTTAGTGTCAACGGGTAACAGTCGCAGGAACAGCACATGTGACCCCAGGGACAGCTGTTTATGGGGCTCGGCAGTGACGGGTCTACCAGTGATGGCGAACCTATGACACGCGTGTCAGAGGTGACACGTGAACTCATTTTTTTGGTTGATTTTCCTTTGTTAAATGGCATTTAAATATCAAAAATATACATCTTTGTTTTACTATGGTTGCAAATATCAAAAAATTTCTATATGTGACACAGCACCAGAGTTAAGTTAGGGTTTTTCAAAATGCTGACACACCGAACTCAAGAGGTTCGCCATCTCTGGTCTATACTCATGCTGTTGGCACCATCCTTGCTGCTAAGAAATGGTGGAGCCAGATCAGAAGCGAGGTAGCCTGGCTCCAGACCCTCCCACCCTCAGCCCTCCGCCCACTGCCCGCTCCAGCTCTGCGTGGCTCTCAGGACGCCACCCCTGCTGTGCCTGTCCCAGGCCAGCCCGCCCTGGGCAGCGGGTGAGCTGCACTCACGGCCTCCACCAGGCTGTCCGCGCTCCTCTGCTTGTCGCTGTTTTTGCTGTGGAAGCTGCTGGGGACGGTCAGGCTGGCCGGTGTGAAAGTCCGGTAGGAGATTCCAGGCTCGTCCGTGTACCAGGAGCTGCGGTGCAGGGAGGGCAGGCTGCCGTTGACCTGGTCCAGGGCCTCCGAGGGCTCCACCTGGATCAGGGGGGTGTAGCACGGCGCCCAGTCCCGATACGGAGGGGTCGCCGGAGGGGTGGCCCACGAGCGGGTCGAGTGGCTCGGCGAGTACTTCTGGGCTCTGCTTGAATCTAGGCCTGCGACTGCCATGACCTGAGGAGACAGGGAGCGGGGAGACGGGGGCCTCAGCGGCCTGGGCTCGGGCCTCGCACCGCGGCCCGGCACGAGGCACTGCTCTGCGGGGCAGCCCCGGACAGAACCGTGGAAGCGCGCCGCGTCAATCAAGTGATCGGCAGTGGGAAGTGGGCTTTCCAACAGACGATATTTTCTTTTCCCCCAAATCCATTTCCTATGACTGTTCCCAAGAAAAACTGGAATTGTTTCAGAACGACGAAGCATCAGGGAAGACACACAAGCCGGGCGTGTGAACACGGCAGCCGGGCACTTGGTTGAAATGTAGAAGTACATTCAGGGCAAGCGCGCAGGGACGCCCAGCTGTTCTCTGCTCTAGCGCACGTGCCCACGGCCTCCCCTGCCTGCTCTGAAGCCCCGGGCACAGGGCACCCCAGCACAGTCTCATGGGCAGCTCAGGCCCTTGGCCTCACGGAAGCCATGCCCGCCAGGGAGCCGTGCAGACAGCAGCTGGGCCTGCCGGGGGCGCAGGGAGGGAAGGCATCGTGGCATTTGATGGCCTGGGCCTTCCCAGGCTTGTCCTTCGTCCCGGACAAAGCAGGACACAGATCAAAATGAACGTAAACACTGAGGACAAAGGAGTACGGAGCGGCAGAGAGATGCAAATGACGATCGGAAATGGCAGCTACCACTCACGTGCTCCGGACACTCAGGATGGGAAACCTGCCTGAGCTCTGGCTCCACACATTCACGGAGCGGACGCCAGACCAGGCAGCCCCTCCGCCTGCACCCCCTCCCCTCCCCCACTCGCACAGTGGACAGCATCTCTGATGTGCTCTTTCAGAAAGAAGTCCGTGTCCTTGAGGCAAAGCCCTGGTGAGCGGCCCTGGCCCCCGCTCCCTCCTGTCCAGCGCTCTCACCGTGGAGGGGTCCTTCTCCCTGTGCCACACTCCCCTCACAGGCAGGGTTGGGGGCTCACCCACCCCGTGAGCACAGAGCCCTGCCCACAGAGGGCTCCCTAAATGAAGGAAGAACCTCTCAGAGCAAATAAAGGCACTGCCGGCTGTTCAGGGTGGTCTGGTGGCCGCCACTCCCCGCGTTGTGAGCTGTACCCAGGCCCTGTCTTCATCGCTAAGGGAGACATGGGGAGAAGACTGTGCCTAGAAGGAGAGCCCACCTTGGCAGGTGGCAGCCTTGGACTCAAATGCCAGCGTGGTCACTCCCCTCCTGTGTGGGCTCGGGCACTCGCCTACCCTCAGCTATGTTTTCTCATCCATGTGATGGGGTTGGTGATAGGGTCTATTCGCAGGGTTGTCACACAATGGAACCCAGTGTATGGGAGGGTTCTCTCCCTCCCCCTGGGGCTGGCAGCCAAGAGGAAGGGAGTGTCCGAGGGGGTCCCACACAGGGTGCCCATGGAGCCATCGGGGCAAGGCCCGGGGGCCGGCTCACCTGTTGCTGCATCAGGTGCAGAGGCAGGGCTGTGCGGTGGGGAAAGGTGGGGGACGGCGGGACGGCCTCCTGGCTGCTCTGCCGGCGCAGGCACTCGAAGTTGAAGGAGGATCTCCGATGCGCTGAGGGGGGAGCACAGGAGCAGCTGTGGAACCAGCTCTCAGGCAGGACCAGGACCAGGTGTCCCGGTGGCCCACCGAGGCCAGCGGGGAGCCGCGGAGGCAGCAAGCGATACGTCCAACAATCAGTACTGAGGTCTCAGGCTTTTGGAGGGAGGATGAGGAAGAAGCCCGAGGGGTTTTAAGAAGTGCAAGCTGTTCTGCCACAGCCCCTGCCCTACATGTGGTGGGGACCAGACGTTGCAGGCAAGAGCACAGCCTCGCTCTGGAACCCATGGCCCTTGCCGACAGCCCCGCTCACTCCCACCTCCAGGCTCCCTAAGCGTCGCTGGGCCTGAGGCACCTCCGGGTGCTCCTGCATTCACACCTCTGCCTTAAAGGGAGGGACTCGCTACCTATCGGCTCAGCCAGGCAAGGAGAAGAGCCTTTTGCTGGGGAAGAGCCAGCTTCTCCTCCATGAGGACAAGACAAAAGAACAACTTGAACTTTAAAGAACATGCTTGTCGCTTTGAATAGAGGCTGATGCACAGGGTGAGCGATGACAAAAGATCCAGAGCTTGCAGCTTCGTGGGGCGCCGGCACAGGAGAGCCATCTGGTCCAGGGTCCCCCAGCACAGGCCACAGGCCTCCCCCCGGGAAACCGCCACAGGAAGGGGAGGTGTTTCAGGAGCCCGCCTGGTCCCCCGAGACAGTGGGTGGCCCAGTCTCCTCAGCAGCTCCTTTTGTGACCTCTGCTCCCTGAGCTCACAGGGCCTGCTCAAAACGCCACCCCCTAATTCCTGAATCAGAAACTGCAGACACCAGCTGGTTCTGTGAGGCCCTGCCCCCCAAGTGCGTGAAGCCCAGAGGAACAAGGCAGACAGCACTCCTGGTCTCGCAGGCCCAACAGGCACTGCGGGGTGTGCTGGGGCCTCCTCGTGGGACAGCCGCCCTGCACGCACCACGGGGACCGGATTTCTCAGTGTTCTAAGGAGAAAGGCCTCCTGGGTAGCCCGTCCTAGGATCAGATGGGGGAAGTGGGGTGTGGAAGCTCAGGGCCAGGAAAGGAAAACCACACCCCTCTCTCCCTGATAGTGCCTTTCGGTTTTGAAAAGGGGTCCACACACACCCCCTTCATCTCCTCTGGTCACACCCATCTCTGCTGGAGGAAGTCACCCTCCCGAGGCTGAGAACATCGGCTGGGGAACTCCATGCTCTCCCCGCCCAAGCTCTGAACCTGCAGGCAGTAAAGCAAATAAAATACATTTTCTGTATTTGCCCTTGCAAATACAGAGGGCAGCTGCTCGTGTCCACTCGGTTCCTCACTTCCGAGGGGCGGCATCTGGGCACAGCGGGCATTAACGCAGCCGCCAAAGGGAGGTCCCAGGAAGGCCATGGACGCACAGGTCAGGCCTCCACCCAGCTCACTGCATGTGTGTCATCCAGTATTTATGGAGGCCAGAAGTGCTGTGTGTTCAGGATGCAAGATTAAATATTAACCATGGAAATGGGTCTGATTGCACGCCCAGCAGGGGTGTGGGCGCTGGAGAGAGAGAGGGCTCTGGCGCCACCCAGCCATGGTCGGTATTGTGTGTGCAGTTGGCAGACTGGGAGCCGATGTGTCTTGGCTACTTTTTGGTTACTAATTAAAGTCCTGTTCAACAATATGCTTCACTCCTTAGAAACACCCGAAGTGGATACGTAACCATCGTCCAAATGCCCACATGTCCAAAATCAAACTGCCCAGCCGGGAGCTGGCAGGGCCGCTGCTGCCGGAGCTCCTCCCCGGGGGTGACCCAGATCTCCAGGCAGCGCCAGTTATGCCCCCTGCACAGGAAAACCCGGTGGGGCAGCAGGCGGCCCCTGGCCCTGCTCAGCGGGAGGGGATTCCCGGGCCCCATGATGGGAGCCTACACCAGAGCTCACCACCCAGGCCCAAACCTGCCCCATGGGCAGAGGGCCCTGGCAGACCAGAGGCAAAGGCAAGAGGGAGGAGGGCAGAAAGGGGAGAAAGGAGACACCCAGGTGTGGCCTGAGGAGGCGGACACCAGGAACCCCAGGCACCCTGCACCCAGAGGCGTGGGCCTTGGCACAACAGATCTGCGCTAAGTCTAGCTCCATCCCTCCGCCCTGAGAGTGGTGACCCGACCCCAGAGTGGCTCTGATAACAGCAGGGGTGCACATCTTGCCCACTGAGGGTGGGTCCCCAGCTCAAAGGTAAGGAAAACATGCAAAACAGCGCCTACAGGCCCTCCACGCTGGGCCACACCAGGCCGCACGCCATCTCCTCTGCTGCCGGAGTCAGAGCAGTGCGGAAGCGCGGATGTGGTCTGAGCTCTAACACATGGGACACGATGAGACAGGAGAGCCGATAGGGTCTCCAACCAGGGCCTGGCCTTGAGACTCAGGTCCCTGACATGGCAGCTCCTCATCCATCACCACCTTCCACCACCCCAGGGGCCGGGGGAGAGGCACATGGTCTCTGGGAAGCTTCACCCCAAACAAAAGATCTGGCCTCACATGTTGGGGTGGGAGGTAGTAGGCGTCTCCTCGGAGATCTGTGGGAATCATAGCAAATGGGCGAGTCGTCGTCTTCCAGGAAACCTTGAGGGTGGTGGTAGCCCCGGGGCCGCTCGAAATCCAAGCTGCTGCCTGGGTGTCGGCTGTAGTAGCTGTAGTTTTGCCTGGTGGCCAAAAGGCCGAGAGGGAGAGGAAGGGGCATGTGAGCTCCCAGTTAACAGCTTCTCATTAGCTCAGACCTCCCGCCCTGGCCCACCCCTCTACAGCCCCCCCAGCCCCCGCCCCGCCCTGCCCCTGCTCAACAGGCACAGCAAGACCAGCTGAGAACAAGGCAGCCCTCAGCTTCACAGAAGATTCTAGATGGAGGACAAGGGCTGGTCCAGGAAGGCAGGCCTGTGATGAATGGGGTGCTGGTGGTGTCCCCCAGGCCGGGGCAGCCTCAGGCCTGGGGCAGAGGTGAATTGCAGCTTTCCTGCAAGCTCACGATCACCCCCTCACTTCCTCCCCTAGAAGTTCTCTGAGTGCCTGCCCTCAGCCGGGTGCTGGGCTGGGAACCAGGACACGAAGATGCATGAAGCAGTCCCTCCCCTCGGGAGCTGAGCTGATGCCACATGCACGACGTCTGGTGCAGACGGAAAAGGCCAGCGCCAGAGGAGAGGGGGTCCAGGTGGGTTGTGCTTTTGGGGCGTGGGCACCTCAATGCCATTGGGGAAGAAGCAGAGCCCCGGAGCAGGTCCTTGAAGAGAGGGTGGGACTAGGCCAGCCGAGCGGGAAAGGGGGCCAAGTGGTGGGCGTGGGGTGCAAGCACAGTGACGAGGGAGGTCGGGCCCATTTGATCAGGATCAGTGGTTCTGGAAGTGGGGCTGGCGGGAGGGACTGCGGGAGGGAGGGAGCGGGAGAAACCGGGGGAGGGGGGGCAAGGGGCGCGAGGGCCCGGCCATGGCTGCTGGCTGGGGTACCAGGCTAACAGTTAGAACAGCTCCGACACCAGAAGGGACCTCAGGCAGTACCACGTCCACTCAGTGAGCCCCTGGTCCTGGTGAGATGCAATTTACAGAGAAGAGGATGGCAGGTGGCCTTGTCCCCCTGTGCTGCCCACGATGTGTCCTAAAGCAAGTGTCCCCTTGAACCTCAGACATTCTTCCTTCAGGACAGAAGCCCGGAGAGGCAGCTCTGCTGAGCGACCCCTTGATGAGAGTGGGGAACAGGTGCTGTTCATTATGACCCACCCTCCCACCCTGGCCCCAAGCGATGGGCTGGCAGAGCTGCTCGGCAGACAGAGCCTTGGCTCAGCGTGGGCAGTGCTCAGGAAGTAACAGGCCTCTCAGCAGACAAGGAACGGATGAAGGCTGACCCTGCATGCCAGGCCCAGCTCTCATGTCTGGGCCTTCGCTGAGAGACCCCACAGGTCCTGGGGGAAATGGTCACAGCCCGGGAGGACGGTCTCTGGCCCCCTCTGGCCCCGTTTCCCCTGCTCAGCTTTTCCTCTGGCCTGGAGCCTGTGGTCCTGGGCAGCTGCAGGTGGGCTGGGGCGTCAGGAACAGGCAGAGCACCAAGGAGAGGCAGCAGCCAGGCCTTCTGACGTTGGCCGAGCCCCGAGCCCTCACCTGCTGGAGGCGGGTGAGCTGTCCTCCTCGTAGTCCTCCTCACCGCTGAAGTATTCGGGCTCCCCCAAGCAGCGGGGGTCCCTGAAATAGCCCTGGACCTCTGGGTCTTCCCGGCAAATAGTGGGGAACTGCTCATCTCCTGAGTCGGACCTGCGTTTGGGAGAAGAGGACTTCAGCACCTGGGCAGGTGGCAGCCACGCCCTGCAGCTGTGCCTCCATGTGCAGCCAGCATCCTGCCCACGCGCACCTGGCTTCTCCCTGGGCACACCTGCCTCAGCCAGGACTGGGCTAAGGCCACTGGCAACAGCGCAGCGTGTGTGCGTGTGTGTGTGTGTGTGTGTGTGTGTGTGTGTGTGTGTGTACACGCACCAGGAGAAGTTTCTCTCTCAGTACCTTGCATAATGCTGATGCCAGACCACAATGACTAGGGGCCTTGGGGCCAAGGAGTAGATCTAATTTGGGGAACAGAGCAAGAAAATGGCCCTCGAGACCAGAAGTCCCAGGGAAAAGACGGCTCCCAGGCCATCTGTCTGATCCCCGCTCCTTCCTACCTGGGCCCTGTGCGACGGCAGAGCCTGGGACAAAGAGACTCCCTGGCTACCCACTTCCTGCTGCATCCGACCCACATGGGTGACAGGAGTTCTGGATACAGTGTCCCAGGGGAGACTCTCATGCATGATGTCCGCCAAGTTTTCCAAGCCTGCCCGCTGCCCCGAGCTGTCCTCATGCTTCCCTGAAGCCTAGCCTTGCGGGCCTGGGTCCTGAGGAAACCAGCCTCGCCGTGACACGGCTTCCTTCCAGGGAGAGGACTGTGATCCCCCGGGGAGAGGCCTGTGCTCCCGCTGAGTGCTGAGTGCTGTACCCTCTCCCTGGCCTTGCGCCCAAGATCCCACTTGTTAAACCAGCAGACCTACCCTCCCATCACCAGCAAAACCACCATCCCACCCACTCTCACCCGCCTCCCACCCGCTCAGCGGCCATGGAGCAGGTGACACTGCACGTGTTGAGGGCTGCGTGGGAGGCAAAGGAGCAAACCTGGCCCTGGTCTCTAGTAGGCCGGGTCATGCTTTCACCAACACCCCACAGGAGGCTTGACCCCAGAAAGCAGCAGCCACTGCCCACGTCACAGGCCCGGGCACCGGTGCACAGCGGCTCTCCCTGTGCTGTCCCCAAGGTCTTCAGGGTCTGGTCTGTGGGCACCTGGCATGTGAATGCCAGTCCTTGGGTGGTAATGGTCCCAGGGCTGGGAACCATTTTTCTGCCCAGGGCCATTTGGATATTTATAACATCATTCGTGGGCCATACAGAATTATCAACTTAAAAATTAGCCTGCTCTATTTGGTCAAATATTTAATAAACTCACCCCTAATGCCTTGGCAGGGCCAGACCAAATCATTTCACAGGCTCACAGGCCTTATATGGCCCTTGGGCTGGACGTTCCCCACCCATGGTATGTGGCAGAAAGAAGCCACTTCCCCCCCTTCCCCGCCCCCCCCCCCCCACACACACACACTCCTGAGTGCACAGCCCTGAGCTATAATATTGCAGGAACTTCTCATCTCTCCGCATTCAGAGAGGCCAACTGGTCACACTTATAACACACAGTATTTCACACAGAAGCACAGGCAGGGAGCACATACCTAATGTAAGTTTCATAATAGCGGGCTCTATCCAGGAAATGCATAACAAGGGAGGGAGGGAAGGAGGAAGGGAGAAGATAAACGTTAAATATTTCCAACAGAATTTAAAATGCAGTTACCAGGCTACTACCTAGAGCTGGCTGGCAAACTGTGAGTCACGGGGCAAACACGGCTGCCGCCTCTTTCTGTATGGCCATGACCTAGGGGTGGTGTTTATATTTCTAAACGACTGAAAACCATCAAAGGAAGAAAAATATTTCTTCACCTGTGACTCCATGATGTTCACATTTCAGTATACAAAATAAAACAAGTTTATCAGACTGTCGTGATTGCTTCCTCACCACAGCCGCGGAGCCGAGTCACCCAATGGACTGCAAGGTGCTCAGAGTCTAACACACCTGCCGTCTAGCCCTTCCCAGGGTCTGCCAGCCCGACCCCAGTTCTGCTGGCACAACTGGGGAGGGCGGAGTTTGCGCCTGCTGCCATTTTAAGGAGCGTATCACACAGCAGGACACAGGATGGCCAGGCCCGCTTCCTTCAGGGCCATCCTGCAGCGAGGCCCCGGAGAGGCCGTGACCGCGTGGCGCTCACAGGTTCCATTGCCCATGTCAACTGGGGATCTCCTGCCTGTGCCAGCGCATGGGGGTGGGGGCAGACACAACATCACCACATGCCAACACATTGTAAAGGTTACCTTTTCCGACTGGACCTTCCTTGAGGCTCATGGTCATGCTTGTGGGAGGAATCATGCCCATTTTCAGACACATGCTCAAGGCTCCCAATGCTGGGCTGCTTTCCGGGGGCAGCTTTGGACATATTGGCATTATTGAGATTGGCATTGGTTGAGCTGGGAACTTGCTTTCCTATGGAATTATGGTTATGATGGTTATGACACACCGAATTTCCTGCTGGAGGAAACAGCGGTTTCTCAGTATCACTTGCAGGTGGAACTGAAGGCCTTTGGACATGCAGGGGACGGTGGGTGGTATTGGTCTGCTGAAGGGAATCCCTCCTATCACTATTAACATGATTGACATGGTTTCCAAGCAGGGCACCATTTCTCTGCAAAATAATGGGAGAACACACCAGGTAATTTAACAAGCATTTGATGCAGGCTAGCTACGTTAGGTCATTTTTTTCTACATGTAACACAAATTCTAGGTAAGCTCCGGAGGATCCCTGGAGAATGACCTGAGGGCCTCAATGTGTCTGCGTGGGGGCTGGTCCCCCTGAAACGAGGAAGGTTACCGATTCCTGAGCCGAGGAGCAAGCTCTCGGCTGTCACTCGCGTGTGCACTTCCAGTTGCTCCAAGTTGAGGTGACTTATACCCAGCAGGGCTGGCTGGAGCCCCAGCCAGTGAGGTTGGGTGGTAGGCATGCTCCCTGGGCTGGGGATTGGGGGACTGGGAGGCTGAGGGCCCCTGGCAGCTCAAAGAACTGGCCCGGAGAAGAAGGGGGCCGTGTGGGCAGGCAGCTGCCGGAAGCACCCAGATGCTCATCCATTCCAGCCAGTGGCTGTGGCCAAGCTCCTTGGAGCTGCCAGCGCAGGGCAGGGGAGTGAGCTTGGAGAGGCAGGCCTGGCCCTAGAGGAGGTGCTGGTGAGTGGGGAGGGCTGCTAGGGGAAGGGCATGGTCCGAAAGCCCCCTACGCTCTGGGGCTGGCTTGCATTCTCCGGGCACTGCTGTGGCTCATTAACTGCCCCAACTGGAGCCCTGCCCCACTATTTCCAGGCGGCCGGTGCGTAGCTGTGCGCAGAATAATTACTTTGACTACATCTTCTTCTTCTCCTTTCGTTTCCTCGGGCTCATCATCTTGCAGATCACACGATATAGCCCGCCGGATCTCTGGCCCGATGTCGTGCAGTGTCCTTAACCCCGCCTAGATCAAGGAGAACGGCAAACAGATCAGACAGCGCGGAGCCCTGGCCCGGCCTGGGTCCGGGCGCTGCTCCTGCCGATTCAGCTGTGGGAGGGAAGCGTCTCCACAGGACAGCCCGGGAAACTGACCGCTGTCTGCACGTCACGGGAGTCCCTGCAGCCTCAAGGTTGTAGGGTGTGGTCAGGGGTTCTAGATGGTCGAGCCTGGGATGCTCAAGGCCCCACTTAGGAAACTCCTTTCAAATGCCCCCCTCCCCTTTGCAGGGCACAGCGCCTGGTCACCAGTACTAGGTCTGTCGTGGCCAAGAGCCCATGCCCAGGTCCAAGCGACAGTCTGCGGAAGGATATCCTGCAGAGCGCCATCTCCCAGGCCCCGGGCAGGGCGGGGTGCCCAGCCTGGCTGCTGGGCAGGGAGCGGGCGAGGGCTGGCTGGCGGTGTCCAGGATGAGGAAGCCGAGGTGCAAGTGCCGGATGGCAAGCAGCCCAGCAGCCGCCCGGGCCACTGGTTCTGCTAAAAAGCATGGGAGCGAGGGAGGGACACAACACACGGCAACCACCAGCACACTCAGGACGTGACAGAACGACTGGCATGCACACAGACCTGGGCCGCTGTGCAGTGCCGCCTCCGGGGCCATCGTGGGACCCTGGCCGCAGCCTGTGCTCGGGCTGAGACCCCGCCAACTGTCCGGCGTCCTCTCGAAGACCACGGCACACGGACACGGGCTCACCAGCCTCGGAGGCCGTGCCGGCCCCACCGCTGATGCCCAGGCCCCTCACAGACACTCTGCCTTCCCTGAGGCCTCACACTGGCCTTCCTTATCCTGGGTCCCGGGCTGCAGTGGGACAGGGCCTGGGAGCAGCCTCCCTGTTGTTCCCAACTTCTGTAGGGAACCATTTGGGATGCTGATGGACCAGATATGGGGAAGGTACAGTCCCTGGCTCTGAGAAAATGATGTTCTGACCATCCGTTTGAGGAAAAGGAGCATGCTGACTCAAAGACTAATAGGCACACGACAGCAGATTTACCCTTTTCCACAAAAAGACTTACATCTGAAAGAGGCACTTCCTCCCTGCCCCAGGTCTAAGGCTGCTCATGTGTATCAGGGCGGCACCCTCATTTGCTGCCAGCCAGCCTGCAAACCAAGCAGCCACTGAAGGCTGGCTGTGCAGGGCTCCACATGCAGCTAACACACCCATGTCAGGACGGACCAACTGCGGGTTGTCAGGGGGACCTCTTCCCTGTCCTTCTTCCACAACACCCAGCAGCGGTGGGCACAGGACGCAGACGGGGCCTGATGACCATACTGGAGACGGCCCAGCAGTGGCCAGGCGGGGGAGGGGCTGGAGGAGGGGACAGTGGGTAGGTCCAGCAGGGCTGGGCCCACTAGTGTGGGAATTCTCAGATTGGTCTTTGCAGACACCAGTGGTGCTGGTGTTAATTTAGAATATAAAGTTGTACAAAAACTTCCCAACAGGTTCTTTTTGAAAATGGCGTCCTCCATAGTAGCACCTGCCTAGGAAGATGAGCCTGGGTCTGTTTGGAACCAGGCTTTTAAGAGAGGATCAGCGGGTCTTTCCATTTCGTGAATTGTGGGGGTGAGAGAGCCACCCAGCGCCAAAGCTTTCAGGTTCCTAGCTAGGAATGCCATGGTCTCGCAGGGGAAAGCCGCACACGTCCCAGAGCCAAACCTGGAACAGTTCGTGGTGTGTCAATGAGGTCGCCACTTCCTTTCCTGTCCCTCTGATCACAGGCACAAGATGCACATGCACACACCTGTGAACGCACTCACATGCACACACAGGCACATACAGGTACACACCCACACAGGTAATCACACACGTACACTCACACTTATTCACATATGTACTCACACACATGCATGCACACGTGTACGCACACACTTTCCCTCTCTTGGGATCCCAAGTCCAGCACGTCCGAGCCCAGGGGGTCATTGGGCTTGGAGGGGGACCCACTTGCCATTCTCATGGAAACATCAAGATGGCAAGTCAATGCAAGGGTGCAAGCCCTTACGCAGCAAGGCTGCAGGCATGTGAAGGAAGGTGGAGCCCAGTAGTATTGAACAGCCTGTGGCTCATTCAGTCAGCATTTTCTAGGGGACAGTTACCAAGGGAAAAGAAGCTAAGCCAGGGTTCAAGGCTGATTCTGGATCACGGGGAGAAAGGGCTGTTGCGTATCTGAGGCTCCCAGACAAGAAGAGACCAGGCTTGAGACACCTGCTGCTGCCCCCACAAAATAAACAGAGGTGACAATGCACCACGTCAACACCCCCAGTTAAATGATGTACATTAATCCCTGTTTCAAGGCAGCGTGGGCCAGGAATACGGAGCTTAAATAACAACAAATAACCCTGATCACTGTCATCCAACTGATTGCACTAGGTCTAGAAAAGGAATAGAAAACTATTTATTTGGATAATTTTTAACATCATCCTCTGTTGACGGGTTGACATTTCACTGAAATACACATATAACACAATTGCATAATAAAAACAAAAACTGTCTCCAGCACGTCGTCAATGATACACCAGAGTGAACAGACACAGGAAGGACAGAGCGTTTGTTTGCAACATAAATCATGGAGGAAATCGAGAGGCGGCCAAAGAGGCCGTTCCCAAAGACAAGTAATGACAACATATTTATTAAAGAGACATCAGAGGAGGAGAGAAAGCATCCCTCTTCCCAGACAGGAAAGCAGAGGCTTAGAGGTCACGGTTACATTTGGCTTGCTCCACGCGGCAAGAAACACGCCTTCTAAGAGTCAGGGACTGACTTGACTCTTTCAAGTGGGACCCAGGGGAGGCCAGGCAGGATGTCTGCCAGGGCTGGGAATGAGGGAAAGAGATGTTACCAAACTCGAACTAAAACGAAGCTGAAGCACAGCACCCTGAATTTATTACATATCACAAAACAGGATAATGAATTTTTTCTAGCACACAGATCGAGCTAAAAGTTAGCTTAGGCTGCTCCAAAAATTCCATAGGCACAAATTCCAATCCCCCCAAGTTCAGAAAACTATCTTAAATCCTTGAAAAAAATATTTTTTTTTTACAGCTCTAAAAAAAAGAACATTTTTTTCTTGAAATAAACACTTTACAACCAGTAAAATTGTGTATTCTTCCGTATTCCATATCTGTGTCTACCTCTTTCAGCCAAAATATTATTTTAATTTGAAATGTGGTCATAGCACTTAAACCAACACAATTAAAGCCATATAAAGTCATTCCATTAACATCACAGTAGAATTATGGTTTTGAATAAACACAGAATTGCTATAAAATAGAAACATTATTGACTTAAGATGTCCAATCATATAAAATATTAAACAGAATCAAGCCTAGTTTCTGGTTGATTTTTAAATGCTAGATGTTATCATAAATATATTTTTAAAAAAGAAATGGCGCTTTGCCTGTAGACTGCTGCTTTAAATTTAGACACCATTTAATTGGGATTTTATAGATATTTACTCTACTAAATGATCAAGTCACACAAAAAAACCCCCAAACTATAAAATCTCTCTAAATATCTCTGAAGCAATAGCATAAAATCATGATATTTTAACATCAAAACTGAACATTCGTTTACCTTCCTTCCTCTCACCCATTTTCACGGTTACATTTTCCCTACCGGTGCGCGTGTAACCCTTGCTCTGCCTGTCTCCCTAAGCTAGTGCCATCAGACACGGTCACCTGCCGGCTCTCGGGACTACGGCAGGCACGCCCAACCCCCTCTGAGCCTGCGCTGTAGCAGTGGAGGTAAGAGATGCCTATCCCCAGTCGGCACGGGGCCAGGCCGTTCATCTTCAGGAATGAGAGCCAGGCTTTCAGACTCCAGCCCAAAGCCCGCGCCTGGCGGGCTCTCCATCACTGGCAGTTTCCCCCGGCGGCTGGCCCTGCTCAGCCGGTTCTAGTTAACCCCTCAGCAGGACTCAGCCCCTACCCGCCCAGCCGGACGATTTTAGACTAGCTCCCTTCAAAGAAGGAACTGGCGATTAACTTCTCACAGATACACCTGCTCATCTACAGGCTGCCCCCCGCCTCTTCCGCATGCACACCCCTCCTTCTGCCAGCGCCTTCCTCCAGGAAAATGTGATGGTGTGTCCATTATGAACATGCCTCGAGTTACAGAAAGGGTTAGAATCATAAGCATGACGCTCCATGAGTCAGCCACGGTGAGTCCAACCCTCACTGAAAAGCCAGCTGTGACGTCACCCTGCACGTTATCCATGGGGCTCACATCCTTTCTCTGGCTACAGCCTGGAGGGAGGGCGGGCCAGTTTGTTCCTGTCTGGTTCAGTGACCTGCCCCAAATAGCAAAGGCTCAGTGAGGTGCCCATGACACCCTGCTGGCCCCACCTTCCACCACCAAGACAAAGTCATTGGGTCCATGAATGCTGGGGTCAAGTCTCAATCAAACGCTCATTCGTGACCATTTCCCTACATGACTGTGGGTGCCCCTCGATCAAGGTCACCTCATTTCACTAACTTAGCCGAGCTCTGTGGCACTAAGTTCACACGGAAATGACAAACGATTACAAGGTGTCACAAAAACTGATCTTAGGCTCTGCACACATCCTTGGCTCGGTTGTGCTCTGAGGAGCTGAGATTGTGAAAAACACTGTCTACCACACGCTAATTCAAACCATCATTCCTCCAGATCAGCACGGGCAGGGAGACGGGCTGTTGCGTCTAACCCTCGGTCTGAACGCAGCTGGACACTGGGGGTACAGGCAGCTCTGTGTCCAGGTGAATGGGTTGGGGCTGAGGAGGGGCCTGGGAGGAGGCGGAGGGTTCAAGTTAGGGACAGTGGTATACACAGAGGCTGTTTAACCAGGAAGGTCATAAAAAGTCTCCAGCACCCCTTTCCTTTAGGGGGATGTGGGATCATTTCCCCAGGGCAGCAGTTCTCAGAGTGTGCTCCAGGGACCCTGGGGCTCTCAGAGGCAGCGCCAGGCGCCCCGAGGTCCCTGCAGTCGGCATAATG